CTGTGAGAAACGACCAGAGAAACTAACGGGCTTAAGTTGTTGGGTCCGGTCCAACTTAAGCATGTTAGGGCTTGTAAACAAGAGACTATAAATACAAGATTTATAGTGCTTGCATACAAGTGAATAACCCTAGGCGCTCCACACACATCCACTGCCCCCTCCCCCGCCAGTCCGCCGCCGCCGTTGCCGGAAGTCGGCCTCACGCCCCGCCTTGATCATCGGTAGCCTTTTGTCCTTGTCTTTATTATTCCGTTTATACTGACTTTTGCTTGTCTTTATTATTCCGTTTATACTGACTTTTGTAATTTACCCAAAAAATAATGATGTCGGATGCTAAGGCCATGCTTGATAGTTCTTAATGAGCTCTTAGTTGCACACATCTTATTAGATCTCACCGTTGAACATATTTGGCTTGATATCTGAACTGATTTAATTGTTGCTTACTATTGAAGCTATTAATATTACATGATACATTTGACTACAAACTTAAGCTTTTGGTAGAGGTGTCTATTCAATATGGTATCAGAGCCAGACCAAAAGAAAGGTCCTGTTCGAATCCTAAGGTCACTAATTTCAAATATTTCAAATACAAGGCTTCAAATGTAATTAGCATATACTTGAGAGGGCTTATTGGAAATATTTATATTAAATGATACATTTTGCTAAAAACTTAACATTTTGGTAGAGGTGATCATATTGAAGATATTAATATTAAATGATACATTTCACTAAAAGTTTAATCTTTTCGTAGAGGTGGTCATTCAACATACCGATTCAGTTCAAAAATTTCAATTTATTGATTCAGAAGCTCGCTATATCAATTTTGGACGATTTTATCCAACAATGGCTACTCTCATTTGTGTGAGTCATTTGAAGTTGAGCAAAACATCTCCTATAGTATCTCCCAAACACTAACAGAGCTAGTAGAGTTACACACTTGATATGCCTAATTGACCCAACCCAATGGGCCTACAAATTATTTACCTACTGGGCCACGAGCCCAATATCGAAGACTACTATCACCGAGGCCCAATCACCTTCAAGCAAGGTTTGGGCCCGACAATCTCAACTAAGCTATAAATACACATTTGAACTCATTCCATAAGGTACGTCCAATTAACTGAGCAATACTACAATACGTATTCTCTGGACTATTTCTATGATCAGCACGTCTGACTTGAGCGTCGGAGGGGTTTCCGCCGGATCAACCCCCGGCTTAGTTCATGTGTTCTATGATCGCAGGTACCTCAGGATCATCAAGTTGTCAAGCTACTGATCTGCTTTGCTCTCCCAGTTCATTTTCTACACCACCCCAGGTGATCTAAGTAATTAACATCATCATTTTGGCGCCGTCTGTGGGAAAGATGCAAACCAGATCACGTAGCCAACAAGATCCTCCTGAGGCGTCTGCTCGGAGAGAGAAGGACACAGCAAACAACCTCCCACCTCGTGGAGGCTCTGGCTTGCCACCTCCTCCACATCCCATGGATCCGCCTCGCGAGGTTCAGGTGATCCCCCTTGGGGACCAACCACTCGCCGATCCACCGCTCCCTGCTCCTCGAATGGTTCAAATAACCGAGGATGCGCTTCAACGCATGATAGCAGAAACTTCAACTCGCGCTGCCATAGAGGCCGTGACCCAATATATCGCCACGATGGGAGCAAATGCTCCCAACGCGATATCAGCACCTGCTCCACATGTGGAGCCATCTATGGCACCACCGCCGTCGACCCCCTGGGGGCTTACATATGCCCCCAAAATATTTCGCTCGCCAAGGGTTATCGACTCCCTGGGGACTTACATCGCCCCCAAAATATTTCGCTCGCCAAGGGTTATCGACTCCCTGGGGGCTTACATCTGCCCCCAAAATATTTCGCTCGCCAAGGGTTATCAACTCCCTGGGGGCTTACATCGCCCCCGAAATATTTCGTTCGCCAAGGGTTATCGACTCCCTGGGGGCTTACATCTGCCCCCAAAATATTTCGTTCGCCAAGGGTTATCGACTCCCTGGGGGTCACATCGCCCCCAAAACATTTCCTTCGTCATAGCAGGAGCCAACGCTCCTCCTCGTGAGGCCCCACTGGGTCCTCAACATGATCAATTTCTACTTAATTCTCGAACGGTTCAGATAACCGAAGAAGACCTTCAACGTATGATCACGGAAGATCCAACTCGTGCAGTAATACAACCCGCAGCGAGACAACTCCCACGAGGAGCCAACTCCTTCGGGTCTACGGAACCACAACAAGATAACTCCCACGAGGAGACAATTCGCTCAGAGCGACCTCAATCCGTGCGCTCCTCAGTCGCGCGCCATCCGATGCTCCTACAACTCCGTTGCGAGGCAAACTCCCACGAGGAGACAACTCGCTCGATCCTACAAACCCGTTGCGAGACAACTCCCATGTGGAGCCAACTCCATCGGCATTACGAATCCGCAGCGAGACAACTCCCACGAGGAGCCAACTCGCTCGGAACTACAACTCGTAGCGAGACAACTCCCACGAGGAGAGAACTCGCACGGTCATATAACCCGTTGCGAGGCAACTCCCACGAGGAGCCAACTCCCTCGGGTCTATGAAACCATAGCGAGATAACTCCCACGAGGAGACCACTCGCTCCTTCCTACAACCCGCAGCGAGACAACTCCCACGAAGAGCCAACTCCCTCGGGTATACGAAACCATAGCGAGATAACTCCCACGAGGAGATAACTCGCTCAGTCATATAACCCGTTGCGAGGCAACTCCCACGAGGAGTCAACTCCCTCGGGTCTACGAACCCACAGCGAGATAACTCCTACGAGGAGACCACTCGCTCCATCCTACGACCCGCAGCGAGGAAACTCCCACGAGGAGCCAACTCGCTCGATACTACAAATCTGTTGCAAGGCAACTCCCACGTGCAACCACCTCGCTCGATAATAAGACTCGCAGCGAAATAACTCCCACGAGGAGACAACTCGCTCAGAGCAACCTCAATCCGCGCGCGCCTCAATCGCGCGTCATCTAATGCTCCTACAACTTCGCTGCAAGACAACTCTCTCGAAGAGACAACTCGCATGAAATTTACTATATAATCGCAAGCTCAAGTTAGCACAATTACAACCCTAGAAGCACTTAGAGATATTATGAGAATCTATATAGCCTGGCCAGCTTGATTACTCAAATTTATCTACTTGTTTTCGATGGGTCATTCATTAAAACGTGGCCACGGTCCAAACATACTTAAGACCCACGAGGTCTAACAAGGGGCACGACCCCCATAAAAAAAATCTTGAGAGTCTGATCCCCTCCTCAAGTACATCACGCACAAGGCTATATATAAACACATATAAGCAACCCGTCAAAACATTGACAATGTCGAAAAATAACAACTCCCACGAGGAGAATACTAGCTCTGTGCTACTACATTATCGTGAGACAACTTCCACGAGGACATAACTCGATCAACTCTATTACCCCAGAGACAACTCCCACGAGGAGATTACTTGATCTGTGCTACTACATTATCGTGAGACAACTCCCACGAGGAGATAACTCGATCAACTCTATTACCCCAGAGACAACTCCCACGAGGAGATTACTTGATATGTGCTACTACATTATCGTGAGACAACTCCCACGAGGAGATAACTCGATCAACACTATTACCCCACGACGAGACAACTCCCACGAGGAGATAATTCGCTACTACATCGTCGCGGGACAAAACCGACGACTCAATTAACTTACATCGCGACAACTTGGTCGCGCTATGCACCAATGCGCATTCACGCCCCTCCGACACACGCTCCAACGCGTTATCGCACACCATCGACCACTACAATTTTTACTCTCGACACGATATGTCACCCATTTCAACATGGGCCCCACATCGACTCGAGAGTGGGGGGCTTAATAATATGCCTAATTGACCCAACCCAATGGGCCTACAAATTATTTACCTACTGGGCCACGAGCCCAATATCGAAGACTACTATCACCGAGGCCCAATCACCTTCAAGCAAGGTTTGGGCCCGACAATCTCAACTAAGCTATAAATACACATTTGAACTCATTCCATAAGGTACGTCCAATTAACTGAGCAATACTACAATACGTATTCTCTGGACTATTTCTATGATCAGCACGTCTGACTTGAGCGTCGGAGGGGTTTCCGCCGGATCAACCCCCGGCTTAGTTCATGTGTTCTATGATCGCAGGTACCTCAGGATCATCAAGTTGTCAAGCTACTGATCTGCTTTGCTCTCCCAGTTCATTTTCTACACCACCCCAGGTGATCTAAGTAATTAACATCATCAACACTACACTCTCTGATTCAAATTATAAGTTTTTAAACCTAGTGTCTTTCATTCTTGTGCAATAAAAGTTGGATGGATTATTCTGAATTTGGTTTCTGAAATGTATTGTTCTAAAGAGTGGTTGTGCACAAAATACTGAACCAAAACATATAGGCTATGTTTGGTAAGCTTCTCAAATTCTTTTCATTATTTCCCCAAAATAAAATTATATTTCCGAAATATTTTCAAAAACTTTCCCCAAAAAGAATTCAAATTTTTCTCTCTCCAACAGACATGATTTGACTGCTACAGTGAAAATTGTCTTCACTAAATTACAAACTAAAATCACTTTATCCTTCAAATTCTTCTTCCAAAATATCTTTTTTCAACACCTTTTAGACATGATTTGACTTGCTACAGTACAAATTGTCTCATCTCAAAACACAAACAAACTTTATTTTATTTTCAAATTCTTCTCTCAAAACATCTTTCTCCAGAATAAAATGGAAATGGAAGCCCAAAAGCTTACCAAACATAGCCATACTCTCTCATATTATCTGTCATTTTATTTAAACTTTTAATAATGCATTAATTATTATTTTATCAATTCTACCCTTATTAATTTTAATTAGTAAAGAGGAAATTAATGAAACTAAGATTAATGATAGGGGTACTTTAGTCGCATTATATGTTTTCCTATAAAATCAACACATATTTATTATTTTTTGTAATATGTATACAACAACCCAAAACGTCAATTATTTTGGATCTGAAGGAGTAAATTCCATCTGTGGCAGGTTTAGTATATTATATTACAATTTAGCAACCATCATAAAGAAGAATAAAAATCCAACAAGAAATTGTTTATGTACGAAAGATGGACAAGTATGAAGAAAATTAAATACAAATACATGCATGTAACGAATCTGAGGTTCAGCATTAAGAATTGGTCAGGAAGCAGGAGAGGGTGTGTGTCGAGCCACAAAAGATGTGACGAGTGGGTTTACAAGTTGCGGTGCCTCATCCTTCACAACAAATAATTCTAGTCAGATGAGACGACATTCTCTAATATTTCTAAGCTTCATTATGTGGATTAATGTTAAAAATGATCTTGTACTGTTAAGAAAATATACAAAAAGAAATCCAAATATTTGTATTTGGTTAATGTGACTGCCTTGTGGAAATCTTGGATGATTATTGAAAACCTTAAAAACATTACTGAGGAAACTAGTGAGAGAGAGAGAGAGAGATGACCTGAGGGCAGTGTCCGACATTAGGGAGGACGACAAAATCTTCAACAGAATCAAACAGTCCATAGGCTCTCCCAAGTTCAATTGGTTCCCAAGGATCTTTGTCTCCCCAAGCCACCAATACAGGACACTATATAACGACAAATGGTAAAGGGTAAATGTGTCATTTCATTATGAAACATTCCGTTTGAAAATGAAAAGACGAAAATGACCTTGACTAGAGGCAGTAATTCTTCAGGAAGGGGCCCATCTGAATAGCATATGAATTCAAGAAACACGTCAGCAGCACCGGGATCAAGTCCAGGCTCAAGTATTAACTTCACTAGTTCATCTGTCACCTTCGATGTGTCATAGTAACACTGATACACACATTCCCACAAAATCACTTTTTATAAAACTCAAAATGACAATAAATTTGAAGAGAGAATTTCTATTCAAACTTCAAAAGTAAAACTAAATCCTCGACCACTCAACCTTTTTAGGATAAGTCATATTTAAAGCTATGTTTCACGAACTTGGTGACGTTTTTGAGTTTCCGATACGAAACTAATGGATATCTGCCAGAAACTTTTTGAAAAATTAATATTGCTTTGTTGCTGCTTCCTTTACACTTTTTTTTTTTTTTAATTTTGTTATCAATTGCACGTTGATGGTAAATATTAATTTTCATTTCTACTTCAGCTTGAGCTTTGAAGATATTAAATATTCCTTGTTTCAATAGTTGAAAGAGCATAATATATAAGAGTTTGTTGTTACCTGAGAAAGAATATTCCTTACTGAGTCTGGTGTGGCAACAATTTTAAAGAAGTATTTCCCAACAACAGTGTTCCTGAATGAAGCACAAAGGGTCATCAGAAGTTTAATTGAAATTTGAAAAAACATATAATCAATCAATCGAACATAATCCACCTCAGCAAACTCTGGAATGATTTAATTAGCGGCCTCCCAAACCAGGGCTGCTTCTTAACGTGCAACATTCGAAGGGATATGTTCAATAAAATAATGCCTTTGCAAATCGAAGGATCCATTACTGCTGCCTGAAGTCCTACAAGTCCTGCAATATTTTTATATCTCCGTAATTAATCATTATATGATGATTATTGCATTTGAAGTCAGTCGGTGGACTATGATTTTCTTAAGTAGTGTATTGAGTAGAGAGAGAGAGAGAAGGGAAGTCGTCACCTCCTATAGAATTACAGACAAAGAAGACTTGTTCATCCTTGACAATTTCCATACAAAAATCATTAAGTTGACTACCCCATGTCTCGAACGTATAAAAGTAGTCTTGTTCAAGATCTTGTGGTTTCGGTTTGTCGGAATAACCATACCCTATTAGGTCTATTGCATACACCCTATGCGACTCTCCAAGAACCGGCAAATTCTTCCTCCAGTGATCACTGACAATAACAAAATGCAAAAACACGGAAATTCATCCTATTGAATACTTATATTACGTGAGACGATAATCAATTGAGCGCATGTAAAATGCAATAAATAATATGTTTCTTGGATTTAAAATTAGGTTGAGATAAATACTTGCGCTCCATGTTGGGTTGTCTTATTTACTTTTGATCATGCTAAAAATCTGAATCTCATGTTTGATGGAGGAGTAACGAGTAACACAAATGGAAGGAGAAAACAAAAAATATGCAACTATATATATATATAGTATACCTATATTAAATAGTTGAGGAGAAGCATGCATAATTGAAGCAATGAGGACCTGTTAGCTCCAAAACCGTGAACCAAGACCAAGGCGGGCCCGCTGGTTCCAGAATACTGGTAGCGAATAGAGTAACCTCTCCACTTCCATGTACTACAAAATCCAAACATATCCGATACAAATGAACATCAAATGCATGAATGATAAAGGCCATCCAGATTGCAGTGGAAAATATCACGAAACTCGAAACAAATAACCTATCCAATTCCATCCAGATTGCAATAATCCAGTAATCAAGTTGCATGTACAATCTCTACTATACATAATCCTTGACCAATCTTTTGTCAATTTCACAAAACTTGAACAGAGTCTTCGTCCCCGAGTGTTCTTAGCTATAAACACAAGAATTTATCTATTTCCAATTTTCCATAAACATAACTAAAACCATAAACATAATTTTGATAATAATTCATGTTCAAAGACAACAGAGAAAAAAAAAATCCAAACTCCATTCATAAAAGTTGTACAATTTAATCTCAAAAACTTTTTTTCTTCAAAATGGGTATTAAGAAATAATAAAATAAAAGGACAAACAATAAGAATAATAAATCAGAAGACCACAAAATAGGTTGTTATGAGTTTACCTAGTTTTAATTTCGTTGTGGGTTTCAACAGAGAAGTTATCCACACGGGAATTGAATAGAGACAATGTATTGTGGTTCGAGTGAATGCGACTATATTCATTTGTAACTTTTCTTCAAAAAAATCAAAATCCTCTCAACAACGAGCAATTCAAAATTCAAAATCCTCTCAAAACCCTATCCAAGGTCCTTCGAATTCCTGCGGATTAAACGAGCAATTCAAAAACGATTTAAGGTAAAACTCAAACTCGAAATTGTTAACCCAATGTTTTATAGTAGTATAGTAACAAATTTCGTCGAAAATCTATACGTTTTCAGTATTTCGAAGAAATTCGAAACTTTTCGGAAAAAAATTGCGTTTCGTGTAAAAAATCACGAAATTAAAGGGTTAATTTCGTGATTTTTTCCACAAAATTAGCAGGATTGTTTGTTTTTCTTACGTTTCGGCCGTTTTCCAGTTATTTCGTGGAAAACACACACGAAATTAGTGCTTGTATTTCGTGAACACAAACACGAAATGTAAGCATTAATTTCGTGTGTTTTTCCACGAAATAACTGGAAAATTCCAGTTATTTTTTTAGATTTGTTTTATTTATTATTATTATTTAAACTGACGTTAATAGTGTCTTATTTAACAGATGGCAGACAAAGGCAAATCAAAGGCAATTATGCGAGCAGTTTGTGAAGAGGTTGTGCATCAAGAGCGCGAGCGCATGACTATGTCTACACGACGTAGGCGAGAGGCTGAGAGAGCTGGTGAAGCCAGATCATCGGTTGTAGATCCCGATGTTGGGTCTTATCGTGCTATGGAGGAGGAGGAGGAGGAGGAGGAGGATGTTGTGGATCCCGTTCACGAGACTGAGGTTGTAGCTCGTGGAGGTCGTGGAAGCCGATGATGGGGCCGTGGAGGTCGTGGTGGTCGAGCTCATACTCGAGTCAATCCGGATGTGCTAGATGGTCCATTTCCCGGTGGCCCGCGGGATACGTCTTTGATTCCGAGTTTCAAGTCGCACGCAGCGGCATATATTTAGAGGGGAGAAGTAAGTTAATTACTTGTTTTAATTTTAATATTATAATTTTTGTATCTTATATTGAAATATTTTTATAGTTGATTAATTAATATATTTTTTAAATAAATGATTGCAGGAACGTCCGGTTGGACGAGTGGAGTCCCGTATCAACTCCCTGAATCATTTCAACTACGAGAAGATAGCAGCTGCCCTAGAAGACATAGATGTATTCGTAGACAAGCATTTTCTGCGGATGACCGGTTTGTATCCCCTAGCCCGATGTTATTTACCGCGCCTAGATGCTCCGCTGTATAAATATGAATTTTTCGGTTTATGTTTGTAGTTTGTTTAAATATGAATGTTTTGATTTATGTATTTATATTGTTTTCTGTTTAGGTCGAGTGGCTACCGTATGGTCGGGATATACACGAGAGTATCCCTCGTACGTTGTATCATGGCACGATCCAGTACATGTGGGTCGTAGAGCCGTATATTCATGATCGATGCGTCCGACAGTTCGGATGGGTCCAGGATATTCCGCGCGGCTTGATTCCATCGATGGAGCCATGTTCACGCGGTCCAAAAGGAGGTACATCGTACAAAGTCAACTACCCATTTCCAGGTGGTATGTGGGACATGGTCTAGGCTCATTCCATTCGTGCTAACGTATACAAGACGGCACGACAACGGGGGGAAGTCGACGAGCACTACATGGAGTGGTATACCAATCGGACTCATCTGAAGATCAACAACCCCGACATAGGCCCGCCTCCACTGCATCGAGAGAATGTGAGGCCACCAGATCAGCCGGCTTATTACCAGATAGTACGTGCATTGTACTCGATCACCAGGAGCACTGGACAGGACTGGATGCAGCAGTTTGCCGATCTACGTGCCGACCTTGGAGATATTATGCAGCCCGCCGCCCGATATATTGGCATCGACCAGGACAACGACAACGACGATGACGACGACGACGACGACGATTATGAGGTGCAGCCGCCGAGGAGAGCGAGGCGGTAGTTTATCGATTTTTTTTGCCAATTATGTATTTTTATGAGCTATTTAATTTTAGAGTTTATTTTTATTATTATTAGGAACTATGCATTTGTATTATTGTTAGGAACTATTTAATTTAATAATTTGTTTTATTATTATTAGGATCTAATTATTTTACAAGTTTTGTTTATTATTATTACGAACTATTTAATTTACTAGTTTGTTGTTTTGTATTTTAATTCACTAGTTTTTTTTTTATTTGAATTTAGAAATTAGGTACAACTGAAGCAATTAAAGTAAACATTTAAACATTCCAAAACAATCTTACAAACAACCTTACAAATTTAATTATTCCAAAAACATAGGTTAAACATAAAAATGCAAAACGCAACGCTACAAATTTAAATATACCAAAACATAAATTAAACATTAAAATGCAAAATTAAAACAAATACAAATTTAAACATAAGTTAAACTTTCAAATACACGGCAGATGGTTATGATTACCATTACTCACACTCAATCGCCATAATCCATCCTCCGTTGATTTTTTTGTCAATTAACCTGAACGGACAAGAACGTTTCTTCAATAGTACGTGTCGTCCAGATTGATATCTTGCACACGTTAAAACATGATATTTTTCTGATTTACAATGATTAATCAGTCGATGATTATGACTAATTGTTGTGTCTTTTGCCCACATAATTAGCGCTTCTCTACTATCACACACATCACCACGTTCAAAGAAGTGACTATGATCGTGAGATTGTTCTCTTAGTTCCTGCATAAATATTTGAAATTAAAAGACAATATATAAGGGATTTCGTATGAAATAACACGAAATGTAAGCTACATTTCGTGTAAAAACATACGAAATAAGAGCTTCCATTTCGTACGTTTTACTACGAAATGTAAGCTTTAATTTCGTGTGTTTTTCTACGAAACAAACAACAAACGATTTTAAGACACATTTCGTATAGTATTACACGAAATGGAAGTATATATTTCGTGTGTTATAACATGAAATGTCTAAAAACGTTGGAAATGAACAAAAAAGTGTATTTTCACCTCTAAATCGAAGCCGTTGTCATCCATGTCGATAATACTTGTGCTCTAATTGATATTGGTCGAAAAATTATTGAATTTGAAAAATTTCAAGAATTAAAGGTTGAGAGTGTTTAAGAGGGGGTTTGGATAAGATTTGAAAAAGAAAAAAAAAATGAATTATTTTGCACAGTAAAAACCGCACGGATCCCCTTTTCAATATTAGAAAGGAAAAGAAAAGGGTTGGAACTTGGACGTCAAAATTCAGCTAATACATAGTCAGGTAATGCTTAGTCAATTAATTGGAGTTCCGACGACCCGTCGCCGGAATTAAAAATAAAATAAAAAAATAAAAGAAAAAAATGATATGTAAACTAATGTTGTTGAGTTAGCTAACTGAAACTTCGAAGAACAACCGCTGGAAAAAAAAAAAAAAAGACAAAAAAACAGATGTCAACTAAAGTTGAAATTAACTAACATCGCCGTAATTAAAAATAAAACACCCTTATTTTTTGTAATAAGGGTGTTTTAGACAATACACAAATACAAATCATTAAAAAATTAACATGTGACACGATTTGAAAGGTCATATCTCATATATGTTGTGTTGCTGGGATCTTACCCTAAACAAACCCAAATAATCATTCCCAAATTCTTAATTTCATACATTGAACCATAAATCAGTTTTATAACTTTGGTTATTTCAGTGGAATTCACATATTGTTTGTCTAGAAGATTTTCATTGCCTTCCAAAACTTTTGAAAAAAATTAATTAGGGATTAGTTACCAGCTAGGGGCAAAACCAGAGGTAAGAATGGTGGCTGAACGGTGACATGTGCAGAATACGTTATGTTTGCTATTATATTTATCGGAAAAATTATATCTTATGTTCTTAAACTTTGTCTTAAAACGATTTATATTTTCAAACATTTTCCTCTACGAAATATGTCTCGACCTTGCCATTTTTAAACAATTTATGTTCGTCCGTCAACTTCTTCAATCAGCTTGGACAGAAATATCACGTGTCGCGCATAGAGGTGAAAATCAGATGGATCGGATTGGAATTATTGGAAGCACCTAGTGCAAGAATTTGTCAACCACTTTTACAACACTCGAAGAACAGTGAGCGTGATTGAGCTTACCAATTCCCGCCAATCTGTCATTGACCACATCAACTGTTGGAGAAATTTAAGGCTTCATTGCAAAGATCGGTTGTCTAAGATACTAGTTATGGTTTAATTCATAAAATTGGAGTTGAATTAGTGTTTCAAGAAATTGGAGGTAATTTTAATATATATAAAAGAGTTTTTCTTATTTTAGAAATAAGTTTAAATAGGGTATATATATATATATATATATATATATATATATATATATATATATATATATATATATATATATATATATATATATATATGCAAAACAAAAAAATAGAATATGATTTTTTTAATTAATTGCGCGTGTCATTATATTTTTTGCAATTTGTCCATTTATTAATTGAATTCAATAGAAATAAGCCGGCAAGATACAATATAAGTATTTCATGTTACACGAGTCGATTCAAATTTAATCTACAAAATCACACAAGATTTACATATTTAAAACACATATATTATAGTTAGTTAATACTTACTTGGGTGTTTCTACCATGAAATTTTGTGTTTTAAACTTATACTCCCTCCATTCCTAAATAAGTGTCACTTTTCACTTTTCACAAAGATTAAGAAACTCAATAAATATATCTTGATTTTAGAAAAATTATATAAAAATGACTAAAACAACCTTTAATATTTAATGATTTATAAAAGAAAATTAATGAATAGAGTTTCATTAATAAGGTTAAAACAGGAAAAATGCATTTAATGCAGTATTGGAAATATAAAGTGACAGATAATATGGAACAACAATATTTTTAAAAAGAGACAGTTATTGTGGAACAGATGGAGTATGAGATACCCCCTTCAAATTGCGACACGTGTTCCAGCAAAAAAATCTATTTTTTTCCCAGCAAAAAAACCTATTTTTTCCTCATTTATGTATTGTCGCAAATACCCTTTGTACAATAATTATTTTAAAAAAATCGGCAATTATAAATTATTAATGAAATGTCAATTTTACCCTCTCAATTTTAATGCAATTTTAAATCTATATTTATTGCTGAATTAAAATTTATAAAGTCAATTATATCATTATTCATAAAAATTATTAACCACCCATTCAAAATTGGGTCAACGTTAAAAAAAAAAAATAATTCGAACTTCTGACCATCTAAAAATATACAAGAATACTTACCATTAAGACACAACACATAATTGACAATAAACTAACAATACGGATATATATCACAAAGCTACAATTTATAATGGTTATAAAACTTATATAAATAATGTTAAATAAATTATTAATTCTCATATAATTATTATTATATATTAATAATATCCCATACTAACAAATCTTTATATAATATATTTTAAAAATCTAAGGAAATGTTGATCAACTCGTGTAATTTAATAATGAATTTCGAAAGAATTTGAAGTTTGAATTGAATCGTAAATTGTAAGATTTAATTAAATCGTAATATTTGAATCAATTAAACTCGTGTGTTTTCAATTCAAAAACAATATTCAAAGCTTTGATCGATTAAGCTCAACTCATTTCAATTCGTAGACAATATTCAAATATTTGAATCGGTTAAACACAATAATTTACAATAGCGTATTAATCTATGTATAGTTAAAGTTTAGTGTCTTTTTTTATTGTATTTTATCATAAAAAAATAATAAAATTTAATTTGTAAAAATCGTAAGATTTAATCAGTTCATGGTTAGATTAAATCTTACGATTTACGATTTGATTCTTACGATTTTACGAATTAAATTATTATTATTTTGGTAAAATTGAATTAAAAGGATAGTAGACTTTAATTATAAATAGTTAACTCGATTAATACGTTCTTGTCAGTGGTTGAACTTAATCGATTCAAATTTTTGAATAATATTTACAAATTAAAAGGATATGCGCTTAATTGATTCAAATCACACGCTTAATTAATCTTATGATTTGATTCTTACGTAATTTAGAAAATATTTTTTTATGATAAAATTGAATTAAAAATGTATTTCACTTTAATTAATAATAGTTAATTTGATTAAGACGTTCTTGTCAATAGTTGAGCGCGCTAATTAATCGATTCAAATATTTGAATAATGTTTACAAATTGAAAGGACTTGAGCTTAATTGGTTCAAATATTACGCTTTGATAAAATATTACGATTTACGATTAGTTTCTTACATGTGTTAGGAATTAATTTTTTTATGACAAAATTAAATTAAAAAGATATTAGACATTACTTATAAATAGTTAAATCAATTATGTAACACGTTATGTCAATAGTTAAGCAACCGAGTCAAATATTTGAATAATGTTTACTAATTGAAAGGATTTGAACTTAATCGATTCAAATCTTACTATTTGATTAAATTAAATATTAAAAGAAAATTCACAATATAGTATTTGTAGTATATAATTTTATTTTAAAGTGAGAAAACTACTAATTGGAATGAGTTATAAATTTTTTTCTTCTAAATAAACATATTATTTTATTTTTTATTTGGATTTGTCACACTATCGATTTATTAACATAAGTGAGTTTGAATTAAGTTATGCATTTTTTTATATTTAATTGAGAATTCTTTACATTTTTAAATGGTGGAGTTTATTAATAATTCTTATATTATATAATTAATGATAGATGTTTGGCGTATTGAACTGCAATTCTTTATATTTTTCAAACTTTATTATATTAAATTTGTTAATAATTTATTTAATATCATTTAATAATAATGAATGTTGTAATTAATATTTTAATTAACAATATTTATACAATTATGGTTAAATATATCATAATAAGTTAATGTGCTTGGATGGTTAGGGGTGATGAATCTATTAAGATGTCCCAAGTTCTATCCCTAATGAATGCATTTTTTTCGATTATTTATCAAATAAAATTCGGTCACAATAAATTTAAATTAATTATTTAATTAAAATATAGTAGGGGGTAAATTAGACAATTCAATGTTAATCAATATTATATTAATTTAATAAAAAAATAATCGAATGATAATTTGGTAAAGTACTTCATTTTTTAGAGATAAAGTTCAATTAATTTCGTACCACCAAGTAGTAGCAATTTTCGTAGCTTTTGTGTAAAAATAAATGTTCGAAGACACAAAATTTGAAAAAGATCTGGAGCGTTGATGAGTGTGATGAATAGTGGTGGATTAGAATCCAACGGCAAATACGTAAATCCCGCTCATATATTTGTATGCATGCCCAGGCGGCCACCTGCTTTTTATTAGTAACAAAGAGTGAATTCAAGAAAAGCATTTCCTTAGCTGTCAGTTCTTCTTCGCTCACGCTTTCCGCACCACCATATAACGACACCATTGATTTATTTATTGTGTGTACTTTCTCTAACTTCAGTTCACCCAAATCAAATCCCGAGAGAGAGAGAGAGAGAGAGAGAGAGAGATGCCGACTCAGAAAATGATTTATCGAAAGTGACATAAATTTTGAAAAGGGGCTTTTGAAAGTGAAAGACTCACTCAGTGTGTGTTTTGTGTTTTATCTTCGTTCAGTTTCACAAGTTTTTGTTGAGGACTTACTGAAGAAAGAAAGAGAGGTAAGATTTAATCATCTGAATTAGCCATTCTTTTTAATTTTATCATGCATACATTTATTTTTAAGTTTTAACCCTTTTAATTTTTCATCGATTCTTGAAAACAAATCTACCCTAAAAAATAATTCAAAGTTGAACCAGGTTCGTTTACTTTTTTAATTTGTAACTTTTGTGTTTAATTAGTTAGTAGCAGATGGGATTTTTTTTATTTTGTTTTGGTTTTTTGGGTTACTATTAATGGGATTAGTGCATGAAAAAAAAAAAGCACAAGAGATTAGCCTAAAGGAATAAAAAGTTGGCAGCTTTTCTTGGTTTCAGTTTCAGCTTATCGTGACATATCATTTACATACACGTTTTATGCATATTGAGTCAGTTAATTAATGTAATTCGGCTGAAATTGAATTCTATAATTTTCTGTGGCAAGAAAAATAGTAATTGATTGAGTTTATGGATTTAAATAAGTCATATTTGTATTCAGGATGGATGTTATAACATTTATTATACAATACTGAATGAATTACTACTGAAGCCATGCATTTTCCTTCGACAGGTCATCTTCAATTCATCACCTGCAGATTAGAATGAAATCCATTTGTATTCTCTTCATCATCGTTATGCTCGTTTGCTTCGACTATCCATCATACAGCAAAGGGTACCCGAAACCCGACCCCGACGACGACACTCAAACACTCAAGGCTCTAAGAGAATCATTTATCGAAAGAAAAGACGCTATTTCAATTTGGTTCGATTCAGACGACACACATCCCTGCAATTGGACCGGAATCAAATGCAATCAAGGCCACCGTCGATTAACCGTAACCAAAATCGACATGTCGTTTTCACTGTCACCTCTGAATCTACCATTCCCAACGATTATCGGTGAATTCAAATCCCTAAAGCATCTCAACCTCAGCCATTGTGCCTTTACCGGTCACATTTTTCCCGAGTTTTGGGATTTTATGTTGAATTTAGAGGTTCTTGATCTAAGCGACAACAGATTATCCGGTCAACTCCCTCCGATCATAGGTCAACTCAAACACCTCAAACAACTCATCCTCGACGACAACAATTTCTCCGGCACATTACCTTCTACGATCGGTCAACTCACCGGGCTGACCGAACTCTCTCTCCAGTCGAATTCATTTTCCGGAAATATCCCCGATGAGATCGGGAACTTAAATAAGATCGAGTCACTCGACATAAGCAGCAACTTCTTCTCCGGAAAATTGCCTCTGCGCATATCAAACCTCACTCGGCTTTTATTCTTCGACGCTAAACAGAACAGATTCACCGGAAATTTACCCCCGGAAATAGGAAATTTACGGACGCTTCAAATTCTCGATCTTTCGTCGAACTCTCTCAGTGGAGATTTACCATCTTCAATAGGCAATCTGACTAACTTGAGTTACTTGAATTTAGCAAGCAACGACTTTGATGGAGGATTGCCTTTGAGCATCGGTAAACTTGCGAATCTCGTTTATCTCATTGCACCGTACTCTGGACTAAAGGGGCGAATACCATCTCAGTTGGGTAATTGCAAGAACCTTAAAATCTTGGATCTTTCTTTCAACTCGTTCGACGGAATATTACACGACGAACTCGCGGGATTAGATTCCGTCACTTCGATTATCCTTACGTCAAACAGGTTGTCCGGCGGATTACCTGTCTGGACTTCAAACTGGAAGCAAATTCAGTCTCTTTCGATATCAAATAACCTGTTTAGTGGGCCCCTCCCACCGCTCGATCAAATGCCTTTGTTATCCGTTTTCGATGCAGATTCGAACATGCTTTCCGGAGAGTTGTCTGCACAAATACTATGCGAAAGAATGCCATATTTGACGAGTCTAGTTCTATCTAGAAACAACTTTTCCGGAACAATCTACAACGGTACTTTCAAGAACTGTCTGAATCTGACGTACCTGATATTGTCCGAAAATAATATTTCCGGTCAACTACCTGCCTACATCGGGGAGATGAATCTGGTCAACTTTGAAATCTCGACGAACAAACTATCAGGTAAAATCCCGGATCGACTTTGGGAGTCGAAAACACTTATGGGAATCATACTGAGTGATAATATGCTCGAGGGTCGACTATCGCCATCCGTTGCGAAAATGTCGACACTTGCGAGGCTCCAAATCGACAATAATCTATTACATGGAAGCATCCCTGCTGGCATTGGCTACCTTAAAACCTCACTAACCTATCTCTGCATGGCAATAAACTAATCGGAGATATACCTTCGGAGCTTTTCAACTGCACGAGGCTGGTTTCTTTAGACCTCGGTGGAAACAGACTCACCGGTCGAATCCCGAAATCGATATCCAAATTGAAAATGCTGGACAATTTGGTTCTATCGTACAACCGAATTACCGGTCCGATACCGGAAGAGATATGCTCCGGTTTTCAGAAGGTTTCTTTACCGGACTCGGAGTACGTTCAGCATTACGGAATGCTGGATCTCTCGTACAACGAACTAGAAGGGAATATTCCTCCATCGATCAAGAACTGCCTTGTTGTGAAAGAAGTTCTTTTTAATGGAAACAAGCTCAACGGGAGCATTCCCGAGGAGATAGCATCACTTTCTAACTTAACCTTGCTCGATCTTTCGTTCAATTCGTTTACGGGTTTGGTGGTTCCTCAGTTTTTTTCAACGATGAATAATATTCAAGGTCTCGTACTCTCGCACAATCAACTACAAGGATTCGCTTCTTATAATAATAGTTGGTCGGCTCTCCAAAGTTTAGCGAAGCTCGACATTTCGAATAATTTCATAACAGGCGAATTGCCGCCTTCTTTGTTTAGCCTCAAGAGTTTGACTTATTTGGATGCGAGCGTGAATAATCTATCGGAATCCCTCACTATCGACCTCGTTAAAGGTGCAGCAAGCTCTCTCTTGGTTTTGAATATTAGCAACAACAAATTCAACGGCACGCTCGATAATTCAATCTCTAATTTAGCGTCGCTTTCGGTGTTGGACATCCACAACAACATGTTCACCGGGAGTGTACCGTCATCACTTCCGAATCTTTCCGCGTTGACGTATCTCGATTTATCGGAAAACAATTTCGAGAATTCATTCCCATGCAACGTATGTGCAATACAAGGCTTAGTATTCACCAATTTCTCTGCTAACAGTTTCGCCGATGACGATTCTCCGAAATCATGCATGAATGTGATAAAACCATGCGGTACTACTCCAGGCCTACTACATTCTCTCTCTACTACTAGTCCAATTTTTTCCCGTGCTTCGGCGTTCGGTCTTGCTATTGGTTGCGTATCGGTATTTCTCATCGTATTCATCGGTCTTACGAAATGGAAATCTAAACGAAACAATGCTTGTACCACAAGAAATGCGCTTCATGTAATGACACCCGAGACCAATACATCGAGTGAGGGTCTCTTGCATGGGAAGAAAACACAGGAGCCCCTCAGCATTAACATTGCAACTTTCGAGCACTCGTTATTGCGTATAAAGGCCGACGAAATTTCATCGGCGACCGAGAATTTCAGCAAGAGTCACATAATCGGTGAAGGTGGATTCGGTACTGTATACAGAGCATCATTACCCAAAGGGCAAACCATAGCTGTCAAAAGGCTAAACGGATGCCACTTGCACGGCGAACGAGAGTTCTTGGCGGAATTAGAAACGATCGGAAAAGTCAAGCACGAGAATTTGGTGCAGCTACTCGGCTATTCTGTGTTTGCAGATGAGAGGATCTTGATATACGAGTACATGGAAAACGGGAGCCTGGATTACTGGCTAAGGAATGAGGTGGCGGCGCTTGATTGGCCGACTCGGTTCAAGATATGTTTGGGGTCCGCCCGTGGGGTGGCGTTTCTGCACCACGGGTTCGTGCCGCACATTATTCACAGAGATATAAAATCGAGCAATATATTGCTGGGACAGAACTTTGAGGCTAGGGTGTCAGATTTCGGGCTGGCAAGAATAATAAGTGCGTGCGAGAGCCATGTGTCGACGGTGCTTGCAGGTACGTTCGGGTATATACCGCCAGAGTATGGGCAGGCGATGGTGGCAACGACAAAGGGAGATGTGTACAGCTTCGGGGTGGTGATGCTGGAGCTTGTGACTGGACGAGAGCCGATTGGGCAAGCGGATGTTGAGGGAGGGAATCTTGTTGGGTGGGTTAGGTGGATGCTTGATGTTAGTGGGAGGGATCCGGTCGAAGTACTCGACCCGTCTTTTTTGGCGGGTTCGGGTTTTTTGATGTGGAGGGATCAGATGTTGAGTGTTCTTTCGATTGCGAGGTCGTGCACGAGTGACGAGCCGTGGATGAGGCCTACTATGTTTGAGGTTGTTAAACTGTTGAAGATGGCAAAGATAATGAGGAATGGCAACAACTGAGTGTATTTAATTAATGAATCAACATAAATAATGAAGTAATATATATATATATATATATATATATATATATATATATATATATATATG